AACCTGTCCATCACTTAGCATCACAACCTCCAACACTGTCCATCACTTAGCATCACAACCTCCAACCTGTCCGTCACTTAGCAACACAACCTCCTCTAAAACCTACCCATCACTGTAGCAACACAACCTCCATCCTGTCCATCACTTCCTCTTTGCTGTTTCCCTCTTCTTCAGTCCCTTCATTTTGCTCCCCCAGCTTTCACTGCTTCATCCCTTGCCCTTCATTCAGATTGCTTGGATGTCATTCTCTTCTTGCAATCTTTCTTTTGAGATGTATGGACATTCTGCCAAGACTAAAATAGCAGTCCTCAATTGTTACATCCTCAGCTGAGATGTATTCACATCAGTCTGATTATTGCCCTTGACTTCTGAAGCACGATATCTCAGATTCGAGACCTTGAAAATGTCCACCACGAGAGGGTTTTGGAGATTGCCATTATCACCTTGGAAAAGTATGTCAAAAATGAGCTGGATGATGAGATACCTGAAGAACTCCGATTGGTAGGTGATTTACAGCAGATGCTAATCACAGTGAAGACGAGGCCATTACACAGTAGACCTCATGACCATAGAGATGACCATGAGTAATTTTTTTTGCATTTTGGCCTTGTAGCGGCAAAACCTTTCTGCCTTCCATGAAAGTTTGGACAGGATGTGTGGTCAGGTTTTCACAAAGGGAAGCAAATAAGAAGAAAGTCCACAAAAAGCTCCTTTGTTCCACTGTTTTGAGATCATACGTACGTGTGATGTGATTTGCGAAAACCCTTCACATGGTGAGCTTTGTTATTTGGGTGCATATAAACTTCCAATTAACATAGACACAAACTCGTTTTTAGATATATTCCATTTATGATTCAAGGTTGTCTACAATAGGAATCTAGGGTGTCTAGAATCACGAATTAAACTTTTGAAAATAGGTCAGTGCCCAGATCAATTTGAAGTTGATATACACTAAAATGACAAAGCTCACCATGGTTTTCGCAGATCACATCACATATATACTGGTCTTAAACGAGACATTTTACAGAATCAAGGACTGCTGAGTTCACTAAAATTAATTGCCGACCCATTTGGCTCAAGTACTTAATATCTCAAAAAGTCAGCACAAGGCAGTAGCTAGTACTAATCGGTTAAATAACCCAGGCCACGTGAAACAACTCACCCATGCCCACGATCCCATCCGAGGCATTGGTGATGGCCAATGTTGTTCACAAAATATTGTAAAGACAGTACAGTGCATTGTGGCCAACTCATCTCCTTAACCCCGCACTCACAATCTGTGCAAAAGTTCACGTAGGACAAGTTTAACACATGGTCACATTTTCAAACAACCGTGACATGCAAAAGCCCTAAAACCCAAGAAATAGTCAGTCACCCATGCAGGTTTAGCATGTAGTGGCACTGCTTCCGTTGGTAACCATGCTCCCATTCTGTAACAGCTATTGGTAGACAAAGACACCATCACCAATGCCGTCAGTGCCTCCCACGACACCCACATGCTTAAGATCGACAACCGAGAGGATGACATCATCCAGCGAGCCAACGGCTGGCTGGCCGCTCTGATGGAGCGCATCCACCAGGAGGAGGAGGTCGCCCGCAACCGGGACCGCGTCAAGGAGATCAACAACTTCATCGATCACCTCAGGGATGAGCTGGAAAACTTGGACCTCCAGACCGGCATGTGAGGTACATCATGTATCTCAGGGAGGCAGTCCACCCGCGCAGCGATGTGTTAAAGACCCTGAAAAAAGCGATTCGGGCAGATCATGGCAAGACAACCCCTGTTTTACAGAGGAACAGTTTGTATGAACACCATATTCATGGGGCACTTAAAGTTGTCACCTCATGGAACATATTGAGGTTCATCATGGCAAAGCTCAAGAGCTAGGTTAAAAAAATGTTGCACTCTAACGGCAGACGCTGTAGAGTGGCCGTCACATGAGAAGGGTATTATAGGTTCATCCCAGGGAAAGGTTGATCTAGGGATACAGTTCAACTGAAATATAGATGATTTAGGAAGACCTCTCCAATTTCATCTCAGAAATGTTGTGCCACATTTTCCAGATGGCCATTATAAATTGTATTCCTATGAATCCATTTTCTTTATGCACATGTAGGAACGGGAATGTATCAGACTTCTTTGTAGTGCTTGGAAAGTATTTTTGCATGTGGCCGAAAACTTGAGAAATTCTTTGATGACTGAGGTTAGTCTAAAATGTACCTCAGTCATTGTCAGTAACACTGATTGTAAAATTGTAAGAATGATTTTGTGGGTTTAGCACAGATTTTAAGATGGTTGACGCTTCAATAAGCCAACTACAATGCACCAATTTCATTAGTTTGAGAGATCTGATCTGAAATTAGGGAGGTGGCTATCCATCTATGAATTTTGATTGACGAGTACCTTATGAGGAGACAAAGTCCAGACTTAAGTTTACTTACTTTGAAAGGGAAAGTGATCTCGGTGTGGGAATTCTGGTATTGGTCTACTCAAAAACACTATCCACAGGCCCCAAACACTAAATGCCACTTTGAGGTTTGTGCAGTTCAGACAGGACCTAATCTGGTGGCAAGTGTATGGACATGTCCATTGATCAGCCTGATTCGCTATTTGAATTTCAGGCACAACATTTTGCTAATTACAAGTACAAGGCTTCCAGACAGGGAAATCGATCATTTATTTCACACCTGTCCTTACAAAATTACACTTAAAAACACCAAGTAAGTTTGGGATAAAACTGTATATATATGTGTATAGTGTCAATCAGATGAAAGTTGTGTATATTTTACAAGTCCTTCTAAAAAAAAACCAGCATGCCGTCCAGTGGCTTTCCAAATTCCGTCCTGTAAATTCCTTCATGCTTTTATGTCAATAAACATGTTTTGCTTCAAAAAAGTAAAGAGCAGCCATAAAAATCTGAATTTAATTCACAGTTTTGCGTGTACTGCTGCTGTTTTGTACATTTCCAACATCAGAGTTGCTGTCCATGATGAATGCAGATCCTGCGCAAAGTCACACTCTTTGCAGTTTCTCGGCTGGCTGGGTTGATTTAAAGATCAGAAACACTGGTAAATCATAATCTCACTTTTTTGAAATTTTGTTACATTTAAAACAGTCTATGATGTAAAAACTGCATAAAGATTGCTGCTGACGTCAAAAGTGTGAGTTGAAGCTCTCCTTCATATCAGGCAAACTGAAAACAAAAGTCCTCGGGAGCATCTCACAGAGGCCTGTTCTGATGAGTCACACTAAGGCTCTGCAATTACACGACTTTCATTATTTTGGGGTGAACACGCCCACGTGCATGAGCGCTGTGCTTGCTTTAACCTAACTGTAAATTGAAAGAGGTCAGACATTGAGAGGGACTTGGAATTGCTTTTACATCAACAATGAAGATCAGACAAGTCAAGGTGATGTCAACACTGGATCATATGACAGAATTGAACTGTCCCAATTTGAACCGAAGTAAGGTCCTGATGAATTTCAGGCAGATGGCAGTGGTCATTGGCCAAGGATGACGTCTAACTTTACTCGTTTTTTTTTCTCTGTTCTTGTGAAATGAAGCCCTCTGTTATGGCCGCAAGGTCAAGAAACTCTGGGAGACGAGAGCCGCATTATGACATCATCAAATCATTATATTTGTTTGCCGCCCTCATTGACGCATTTTTTTTTTACTGTGAGCATTCTTGCGGTGGAACCGAACTTCCAAAAAGACAAATTTTTTATTAATGCGAAGAGAAGCTGCCAAATAGTCATTACATGGGTAATGATGACCACTTCCCTGCTGAACCTTTTCCCATCAAAGCAATGTGACTGAATATTAGTAAGTTGATTTGTGAAATATCCTGCTTGCTAATGTTAAAGTTGAAGCATCCCTAACCAAACTGAGTCAGATGCCCATCACAGCCACATGAAGTCCTGGCTCCATGCTCTGTACTATTAAATAAGTTGTTAATATTGACCAGTGACAAGACCATCCTTGGTGAGATGTGCCCAAACTGTGGCCTAGATTAGTCCATTGCCGCCCACTGTGCATTTGATGGGATTTAGTTGAACTACGTTTAGCATGTCAGAAAGCCTGTTTTTGATTCTGCAAAGGTTACAGGTGGTAAAATGTTAAAAACGAGAAACTGGGTGGAGGCCATTTGAAAAAGTTGGGTGAGTGGTACCGGGGTACATGTCACTTCATTAAAAAAACTTATCACAGCTTAGGAACCAGTCCGATTTGCTTCATTCATGTGGCCTAGATGGATCCAATCCTGTGGGTAGCACAGGGACCACTGAGATGCAACTGCCATCCATACATCTTCATAGTTGGATTATATCCATTATCAGCAAAGAGAG